ACTACCACTACCACTACCACTACCACTACCACTACCACTACCACTACCACTACTACTACTACTATTACTACTACTACTCCTACTACTACTACTACTACTACTACTACTACTACTACTACTACTACTACTGCTTGGCTGGGACCCCAACTGGGCTGGGGCCCCAACTTGAGGTTAGATGCTACCGTCTCCTGCGGCTTTTGGAAGGCGCCCCGCGGATCCACCCGGCGACTCGACAAGCTACAAGCTGACACGAGGATTGAGCGAAAGGGAAAAGGGAAGACACACCAGCTGACGATCAAAGACTGAGGAGGTCAAATGTGTGTCTTAAGAAAAGTAACTATTTGTACAGTAATTGGGCTGATCCTTTGGCTTGTTCATTTGGGCCACCCAGATTAACAGGGACAACGTAGGGACATGTTCATGTTTCTTGAAGAGGATGACAATCAGTTGGAGGCCTTTCTGCCTTCCTTTTCCCGACAAACTCAAGAAGGCCACAGAAGGCAGATGTGATTTCTTTCGGGTTTCGGAACTTTTCCGGATGCCAACGTGTGGACCAATGTCACAAACAGCTTTAAAGCGTTGAATCGGGTAGTTTCTGAAGACATGACCTATGGTTCGTCAGTGGCTTCTAGATGTTTGCTTCATATGAAAATATATATGAAATATGTGGTTTGTACTTACCTAAAACAGATAGTTCAAGAATGTTTTATCAGTTTGTTTAGCTTGTTGATGATTGACTTTCTCTAACAGCTTGGTCAGCTGTCGGTGACCCAACAGGTGCACTCATCCACTGTTTGCAATAGATACATGAGCCACTGCAGTCCCTGTGGTCCACAAGTCCACTGCATCTCATCGTGTTTTTGTGACCTGGCGGTGTTCACCTTCCCTTTGACTCCACCTAGCTTTCTAATCCTGTTGTTTTCCGGTTTGGTCCACCTCGACCCATCCGCATCGGCTTGACCGGTGCTGAACGACCAGGCCGTCCTCCGATTGCTGCACTCCGACGCCGGCGAGCTCGTGGGCGGCTTCGCCGCGAGTTGCCGCGAGTTGCGCCCATTCCAAGGGACTCAAATAGATTACAGTATGGGAGGAGGGGTATATGGGGGGATAGAGATATTGGCAATATTGGCAATATTAACACGTATATATAGCATATTACAAAAGGTATTACATATTGTTATTCGTCTATAGAGTTTGTACATGTCTATACATACTATTACATATATCATATATCCATTAGATCTCTATATATATAGATCTATACTATTCTGAGATCCTTTTTGTGGGGTCATGTCCCATCTTCGAACTGAACGGGGAAGAGGTATGTGTTTTGTTTGCAAAACAAGTTGTGCCACAATTACAAGCAATATCGTGTTGTTCAAGTACAAATTAATACAGGTTGTGCAGGCATGATAGAAAAATTCTGATACGCGGCCGTGTGATGTGTTGTTACAATTGAAAAACACTGTTTATATGCTCAGTTTTTTGCTTGGAAGTTTGAGCGCTACTCGTATATACCTGACCCCACATAGATAGGACAGAAGAAGGCCCTGAAATCTTTGATGGAGGGGTATCTCAAAATGATGTGAGCGGTACGAACCATAACCACTGTATTCATTCTTCCCAGGCCACTCTGATTGGCGTGTGCAAGATCGGGACCTACCCGAGACAACAAATTCTGGGCCCCCTCGGGGGTCGCAGGTACCGCACCTGGGAACACCGTGCCGATGTAGGGAATGAACTGCTCAACAGAGCTCCTGACTTCGTCCGTTGACAAGTTTTGACTGGAGTTTTGTGAAGCTGGGTAAGAACTGGATCAGCAGCATAACAAAAGCGAGACTGGCTGATTCTTGTTGTTGGTCATGACCGTGTCTACCGTGTCAGCTGAACATTTATGAACATAGTATTCATAGCTTTTAGACTAAATCGTATTGTTAACATCATAGTATTACAGTATAAAATAGTATTATATATTTATTAAATGGCAATTCTGTTCATGTGTGGATGCTTACGACTTGGTTTATATTGACATGACCCACACTCCTCAGGCTACTGGACATGTCCACTAAGGGTTTGCCTCTTGAACATAAGGGTTTGCCTCACGGTATGCCATCCTTTGCAACTGCAAGCTACTGCAACTCCCACCACTTCCGAAAGATCCTCTCAGAATCCCTGCATGGTCCATGCAACTAAAGCCCAGCTGAGACCCTTCACCTTTTGCGTACAAGAAGCTACTTGTTACAAGAAGCTAGTAGGTTGGAGGCCATCGCGTTCTTAGGTGGGAGGCCATCGCAACGAACCTAGCGTGACGCCGCGAACGTCGCGTTTCGGGTGAAAGAACCAAGAGAGGTTGAACAGCCCATCCTAGCCCATCCCATATGTACCACTACAGGATCCTATAATCTGGGGCTTGTCGGAGTAGTGGAGACATGAGTCTCCCAACTCCACCACTACAGGATCCGGTCTTTCAACCGAAGGTGAAACAGTTGGCACTCCGTTTCCCGCGTTTCCCGCAGTTGGAGCTACTGCTCCCGGCCCTGGCTGCCTCTCGGTGTGCTTCGGCGGTAAGGCCCATCCGGAGAGCTCTTGGTGTTTGGAAGTGGTGATGGTTTTGCCAGGACTTTTCATTGTCCTGTCCCCAGCAAATTGGAGATCAATGATGACGTGCTGGTCACACTTCACTTGCAAACTTGCTTGAACATGCAAACTTGGAGATGAAAGAGGAGCTTCATTTGCATCCCACCTGTTTCTTTCCGCCCTCTTTCCACAGGAGCGTCGACTGGAGGCGTCGACTGGGACCCTGGGACGAATTTCTCCGAGCGGTGTCGGATGGTGTCGGCTCACCGGTCTGGATCGGACCTTGCATGAGCCATTCTCTGGTTTCCTCTACAGCAACCTCACAGCTTGATTGTCTCTGGTTCCTCCCTTCACTGAGTGCCTTTTTTCGGTGGCATTGCCACTTTTCTTTTGAAACATGAGGAGAAGATTGGCATGCGCGTGGCTCACGAATCTGTTTCCGCTACCAAGAAGGGAGTTCAGGCGAAGAAGATGTAGATGACCCTGAAGAGCCTGACAGCCACTGACAGCCTCAGACTCATTGAAACTTGTTTCCCTGGAACTTTGGGCAAGTTCTTGGGTGAGGTCCTTTTTCTTGGTTGCCTGAAACAGTGACTTCGAAGTGCTCGAACAATGTGATTCTACGATCCCATGAACTGTACAGGCGTTGCAGACTTCCATCTTAGGCGTGTAAGCCATCTCTGATGTATGCTGGCCATGTACCACTACCACTATGTACCACCCACAAAAAAAGACAAACTGCTATCGACCGCCACAAATTTGTAGATTCGGTTTGTGAGAGGTTGCATGATGTTGTATGCAACACCATGTCAGCCAAACAAGTGATTGATTGCGTAGGATAGATTGTATCACATGTTGTATACAACCAGCTTTCTAGGATAGGTTGATTGTATGCAAGTGATCATTATCCTCCATCTATGACCACAGCTTGCAACCTGCAACATCAAATACATACGTGGCTTGTGAACAATAAACTGACCCATTTGGTTTGTGCCCCATCATTCGGTTATAATTCTCCTGATCTGCATGGTGCTAAGTCCACTCACTGAGCTTGCTATGTCCACACTCCGTCACGGCATTGGCTCAGAGAAGTCAAGGTAGGTGAACTTGTCATGAAGGCCTGCCGCTAGTGGGATCCAACTTGAGAGACCTTCAAAGTGGGGCCCAAGTGCAGATGCTTTGACAGCTGCATAGAGAAGAGCCATAGATTCAAGACTTCACGGGGTTGTTCGATTCGCCCCCGCTCCAAAAAAACGACCCAAAGCGAAGACAACGAGGTAAACCACCGCAGACAGCGGTGTGAAAGCATCATCGGACTCGTGCCCTTGTCGACCGATCGCTCGCGCCGGGCAGCGATTCGAACATTGCACGACGAGCAGCTGTCGTGCTAGCTGAGGCCACTTGGCACAGAGAGACAGTGGATCTCGAGTGTGTGTCCACGTGTTTGTGTTTGTGTGTTTTCCGGTATTCCTCCGTCAAAGAGGCATGGAAGTTCACACAGAAAAGACATAGAAAAACTAAACCCTACAGGCTGAATGGCCTCAAACCTACTAGCGATGGCCTCCAACCTAAGAGCGATGGCCTCCAACCTAATAGCAATGGCCTCCAACCTAAGAGAGATGGCCTCCAACCTAAGAGTGATGGCCTCCAACCTATTAGCGATGGCCTCCAACCTAGTAGCGATGGCCTCCAACCTGAGAGAGATCTCCTCCAAAGTAAGAGCGATGGCCTCCAACCAAATAGGAATGGCCTCCAACCTACTCGATTGCCTCCAACTTCTGAGCGATCGCCTCGAACCTAGTAGGAATGGCCTCGAACCGCCTCGAACCTACCAGCGATGGCCTCCAACCTAAGAGCGATGGCCTCCAACCCAATAGAGCGATGGCCTCCAACCTAAGAACGATGGCCTCCAACCTAAGAGAGATGGCCTCCAACCCAAGAGGAATGGCCTCCAACCTAATGGGAATGGCCTGCAATCTACTAGCGATGGCCTCCAATTTTCCGATTTTCCGATTGGCTCAGGCTCCGCAGCTTTCGCGGGGGATGCCTTGATCCCTGGAAAATCCCTAAAGCACGATTGCTTCGAGATCTGTACCATTGGTGAGAGCAGCCTTGTGCTGCTGGATCTTCTCTTCCACACGTTGCAAGCGGTGTGGAGACATCTTGACACTTAGGCAGTGGGCCCAAAAGGTCGTCACCCGGGTGGTGGGGCGAACGTAATGCGTGGTGAGCTTGACCTGTTCAAGTTTGTGTATTCGAATGAGAAAGATGCGGAGCCAGCGCACTCTCTCTTGGATAGCAAATTGTCTAGCAGCCGTTTGGGACAACCATTCCCAGTCCGTGTACTTACGCTTGGGCTTGACACCTCCACTGTTGGTGGTCAAAACAAAATCAATGAGCACATACAGCGCTGGTCTCCAACCTATTTAGTAGCGATGGCCTCCAACCTAGTAGCGATGGCCTCCAACCTAGGCGCGATGGCCTCCAACCTAATACCGATGACCTCCAACCTAATAGAGATGGCCTCCAACCTAAGAGCAATGACCTCCAACCTAATAGGTATGGCCTCGAACCTAGTAGGAATGGCCTCGAACCTACTAGCGATGGCCTCCAACCTACTAGCGATGG